AATAATAAAATAAAAAATGTAAAAAAAAAATAGTGTAAAGATCCTAAATCTTAAATAAACATTTAAGCAAGTCCATTTTTTCTTAGATTGACAAAAATAAAAAGGATCAATAATTATTGTTGATGAGGATGTAAGAAAATAAACATTATCATGAGCTCAAATAAAGTATCTGTTTACTTATTTATTTACCTACTACTAAATTATAAACTCTTTCAGTGCAGAGACACCTTATTCATGCTTATATTCTCAGTTCTAGCACAGTGTGTAGCACAGATTTTGGGCTTAGTAAATGTGTTAATGATTGATCTCCTCAACAAACATTGACTAACCTGTATATACCGGGGAAACTCCCGACCTAAAGAGGAAAGAAAGGACTTTGTTTTATGAAGTTCTCACTAGGCAGTATTTTATACCTTAAAACTATACAAATTTTTGAGAATAATGACTAGTGCATGTAGAAGGAGGAATAATAGAGCTTTGCAACCACATAGCAATATTGGATTCAGACAAAAATCATCTGTGGTCACATGATGCTAAGATCAGTGCTTGCAGATTTGTTGGGAAACAGGTTTTTTACCTACTCTCAATGTATTTCCCCCATTACTAATTAATTATCAAGGGGGTTAAAAAAAGTACTTCTTCATTGGAGAAATCTGGAAGTCCCACCTTAACTAAGTGATCAAAGTCAACATCCCCAGTAATGGAACATGCTGACATTAGGTGTCTCATCTGGTGGGAGTGTCTCTAAGAAAGAGTCAACATTACTTATTTACAATTACTGCCAAAAATGCAAACCTGAATTGAATAATGAGGAGATAATCAAATGTCAAGAAAGACTGCCCCCCTCTAAAAGGCGAAAATCTGTCCCAGATTAAAGGAGACTAAAGAAACATGATAACTAAATACCATGGGGGTCCTGGCTTGGGCAGGGGGGTGAGAAGTCTTATCAAGGACATTTATTTAGATACTCAGAGAAATTTGAATATGGACAATATCAATTAGAAAATAGTATTATATTAGTGTTAAATTCCTGGAATTTTATTATGCTGTAGTTATGTAAGAATATCCTTGTTAGGAGATACATGAAAAAGAATTTTGTGGTGACAGGTCATGACCTCTTCAACTTTATTCTCCAGTTATTTAGCAAAAACTTTAAAGCTATAAATAGCAGTTGTTAATGTTGTCACATTTTTTAAACTGTTTAGTCTGAATAAAAATCATGCGTTTAAGATATTTATGTTAATAATTGTGTTCCTTTTTTAATTATGTAACAATTATGTTATTAACAAACATTTATTTCATATTCATATGTGTGGAGAGGAAGAAAGCAAATGGGCAAAATGCTCACAGGGGATGAATCTAGATGAAGAGTATATGGAACTGTTCTTATACCTTTCTGTAAGTCTGAATTTTTATTCAGATTAAACAGTTTAAATTCAATTTAAAAAAACTAAATGGCAACATGAGCAAACTTGGTATTAATGTGTACTGAATGAGAGCAAGAAAATGTGTCTGTTAAAGAACAATGCTAAAAATATATAACTAATACCAAATAATGTTTTTAAAGTAATGATATTATTTTTATTTTGTAACATTTATATTCCTTTTTGATAGGTAATGGAATATCTTATTGGTGGAGATGTCAAGTCTCTCCTACATATATATGGTTATTTTGATGAAGAGATGGCTGTGAAATATATTTCTGAAGTAGCCTTGGCTCTAGACTATCTTCACAGACACGGAATCATCCACAGGTAAAGACTGACTTTTCTAAAAACTATTACTAAAAAGCACAAATAATCAAATTATGGATTAAATATTTGAGTTTGAAATATTTGCATAATCATTTGCCCATGTATCTGGATTATCTAAAGTTTGGTAGTAACTTGTGTGAGTTTAGAAATTCCATCAACTCGGGGCACCTGGGTGACTCAGTTGGTTAAGTGTCTGCCTTCAGCTCAGGTCATGATCCCAGGGTCCTGGGATCGAGCCCCACATCGGGCTCCCTGCTCAGCAGGAGGCCCGCTTCTCCCTCTCCCACTCCCCCCTGCTTGTGTTCCTGCTCTCGCTGTTTCTCTCTCTGTCAAATAAATAAAATCTTAAAAATAAATAAATAAATAAAAGCACTAAGTTTAAAAAAAAAGTATAAATTCCATCAACTCTTCTTTTGTCTCCCCTCCCTGTGCTTTGAATATGTTGCGTTTAGCATGGGTACACCATTTGTTGTGAAGAATATTGAATCTTTTTTCCACTCCCTACCATCATATAAAAGTGCTCTACTTTATAATGCCAACTGACTTGCAGTGCGCAAAGAAAGTCATGTTCTAAGTGGCTCTTCTCAGTTAAGGCTTAATCTTACCCTCCATGAAAGAGGTAAATATAATTTTGGTGTGGCCTGAGGTTTATTTTATCAAATGAGGTTTATTTGTTGTAATGAACTATCTATGAATAATGCCAAAGATAATCTAGTATTAAATCAGTTAACTTTCTCGTAGGTTCAAATACACAGAAGATTATTTACTTTTGAGAGTTGTTTTTTGCACTTTCAAAGCCAACAATAAGTGCCTTATTTTAGAGAAAATAGGGTTTGATTCTTCTGTAACTTTCTGGGTTTTTCCCTGCTAATTCTAACATTAACACTAGCTCTTTTTTAATTATCTGCTATTTGTCTTCTGTATGTGCAGGGATTTGAAACCAGACAATATGCTTATTTCTAATGAAGGTCATATTAAACTAACAGATTTTGGCCTTTCCAAAGTTACTTTGAATAGAGGTAAGAAAAATAGCAGGTAAGTACCTTTTTAAAAACCCAACAACTAAAAAAATAAATACCCAACAACTACATACTATTAACTTACACTATTTTGTTAGTTTATAATGCTAAAATTTGATGATTATTTGTTCCAAAAAAGACTAGAAAGGTATAATGATATTTCCTTTCAATTGAAGATGAAAAATGGAAGAAAAAAAAAGATGAGAAATGGAAATCATTCCTAAATCATCAAGGGTGCTCAAAGATCTTTGGATCTTCAAAGAGGAACTCACAATTTCTGTTCTTCTGACTTTTTGTCTCTACTGAAACTGGTTTGACCAATTAAACATCAGTAAAATGACTAAAATAACTATAACATGATAAACAGTAATACCTACAGAACTTATTCACACTGATAGGACCACCACCAAGACCTTGATAAACAAGGGGCAAAGAAACTGATCACAATCCACACACACATACACACACACATATATGTGGGAGTATGTTAATTTCGCTACTGGTAATGAAAAAAATGCTAATTTAAAAAATAATGAGTGAATCATTTCACACTGTTAAGCTAGGCAAAAAAAAAAGAACTGAAGATCTAAAATTAATGAGACTGCAAAAGCACAGTTAGTTTTTTCAGAAACATTGTAAATTAGCACGGTACTTTCCAACGGATATCTACCAATGTGTTTTAAGAAGAGTTTAATTCTTTTTGACCTAATTAGTCTATCTTGGAATTTATTCTAAGGAAATGGTTCAAGAGAACAAAATATATGAATAAAACTTTGTAGCAGCATTGTTTCTAATAGGGAGAAACTAGAAATTACTTAAGTTTATCATAGAAACATGGATACTTGAGAGCTTATCAACTTGGTAGCATATTGTATTCTCTATTAAAATGGTAGCAGATAGAAATAAAAACAAGATAGCAAAAACCTGGGCTTATAACTTATAAACCACGGGATTATAATTATTTGAAAATAAATACAGATCTATAATTCTTTATCTGCAAGGACAAAAATTCTTTATCTGCAAGGACAAAAAATTTTTGAATACCTGAAGATTTTCATTTAGTTTGATAAAAATCTGACCTGAGCTGATATGGGCTATGTATGGTTTTTATTACTCCCATTTCATGTAACTACTCAGATTCTTCACAGCAGTAATAATAATATTTGAGTACACGTGGCTAGATCAGATGCCACTAGGGATGTTCCTTACTGTACAGTATACTGGATATTTACCCAAGGAAAACAAAAATACTAATTTGAAAAGATAACATGCATCCTTATGTTGATTGCAACAGCATTTCCAATAGCCCAGATAGGGAAGCAATCCAAGTGTCCATCAATAGATGAATGGATAAAGAAGATGTGGCGTACACACACACACTCTCTAGAATATTACTCAGCCATAAAAAAGAATGCGGTCTTGGGGCGCCTGGGTGGCTCAGTTGGTTAAGCGACTGCCTTCGGCTCAGGTCATGATCCTGGAGTCCCGGGATCGAGTCCCGCATCGGGCTCCCTGCT